CACTTGTCACTACACCACCTCCGACCCGACTCAGGGATAAGGAATATACAGGGTGGCCAAAAAAAAGTCACTTCGACCGAGTCACATATCAGCAAAGTTTTCGCAGCCCAGAGAGAAGAAGTGGATACGAGTACCAGCAGCCGGATTAACCAAGATGTTCCTCGATAAGCAGGAGCTCCCGCCCGCTTCATCACCTTTCATGCTACACCAAGACTATTGAGTCATTCATCCAAGTCGCAGCCCTGACTGGAGAAGACCTTTGGAATTCATGTCACCTCCAAACAGCTGCGAAACTTCTATTGTGGAGTCACCCATGGGTAGCTACATACCTGGAGACCAGTAGGAAGACCTCCAACATCGAGCAGCTCCGACAACGTCGCTACGGTCTAGGACATCATCTTCACGGCAGTCGCCAAGGCGCGGGTTGATGGTATGGACCGGACGCACCTGGAATGGAAAGACCAATATTTTCTTCGTGGACCCCGGGCTGAAGCTGAGCGCTGGCGGTTACATCGACCAACTCAAGAAGAATATCTTCTCCACATGTCGTCCCCCGTACCTTCTTGGAAACTTTGTACTGCTACAGCATTGGGTGCCACCACGTGGAATCAAGGAAGGGAGTTGTGTTCTAAACCTATTCGGTACGAACGGCAGAACTTCTGTCGTGACCTGAAACTTCGCCTTTTTTTCCCATGCTTCAAAACACGGCCCATTTCATCATAATTCTCCTCTTTAATGAGCATTTGCCAAAGTATGTGCTTATCACAACACTCACCACTTGTTGGAAATGAGGCAACTTAGCGGTTGAAAGAGTTTCAATGGTAACAATATCGAAATCATAGTGAAGTGTTCTAACATCCTAATTCTTCCGTGAGCAGCTTTCACATATCGGTCTATTGGCGACTCTTATCATTCCTCACTGGCAAACAATTTTAGGCTTTTACTTCTGGGTGGTACTCGAGAGTTTAGCGGTCGGATCAACTCCGACTACATCCTAAGGGATAGGAACATCTCTGCTCACTAAGGTTTAGCCCATTAATTCTTGGACCACGGTGGTCAAGTTCAGTCGCAGGCATAGCAAAGATGCAGCTCCCCGTTGTTGCTCCGACTCTTGCATTGAATTTTGAGGCCTTCCTGAAGCGGGCCCCCTATGGTACTTTATCGGCTGTTATCAGGTCCTGCTACTCACCAATAGTGTTCCTATCCTGACCCATATATTACTTCTTGAACAACGTTCTACCGTCGCTGTGACGCGCACTATGGTGTTAGTGACCATTCCTTTCTAAGGCTCCTTATGGTATCTTATCAGCTGTTATCACTTCCTGCCACCCACCGAAAATGTCCCCATCCTGTCCTCTACCTTACTTTTTAGAACCAATGTTCTACCGCTGCTGTGACGCGCTTTGTGAATATGGTGACCCTTGCCTTCTAAGGCTCCTTATGGTAGCTTATCAACTGTTATCACTCCCTGCCACCGACCAATAATGTTCGTGCAATAATGTTTCGACCCCCTACATAAACTTAATCCAGTTGAGAGGCCTCTATCGCTTTTTGAAAGGGAAGTTATGAAATTCCGGCGTCAAAGCACACATACCAGACACACATACATGTCACACCACAACAACACACACACACAACATACACACGACCAATGCCGCTCTCCTTTTTCACTTCAAAGCTAATTTTCATATACGAATTCATATTTGAACCCCACAGCCCAGGATCTGCAATCGAGACAGTATTATCTCTCAGTCACTTCCAAGAGGATAAGGGGCAAGAGGGTCTATGAGATTGTTCGTTGTTCATCTAGTAACACAAAAAACATTGTCATAAAGGTATTGTTTCATTATTTTGAGTCTTCCTTACCGTGTAAAGGTGCTGCATTCAAGAGTGGAAAACGTGATACCGAGTCTCAGTAAGGTCCACTTGTGCAGATGAATCACCCTACCTTTAACTGTCGTGGGCTGAACCACTCTGCGTTGTGTTCTCAATCCTTTCACCACTATCTCACGAACGAAGATTGTTGTGATGCGTTAATCTCGTTACAATGCTATCAAAGTAACCGCTCATCACCAGAAATCATATGCTAATTAAGCGGTAGGAGCGAAATATCTGCCGGAAAACAGCTGAGATTGAATATGGTAATGAAGCTATCGTTCATGCTATTCTCGGCGTGGTGGTGCCCTCAGTAACGGCATGCCTCAGCTAGTTCTGCGGTGGGTATGGCTCAGCTGAGTTGCTGCTTTGTTATTATTCTAACTCATAGTTTCTGATTCTCTTTTTGTTCTGCTGAATCTACCGTATAGATTATCATGAGAATCTTAGGGTCGACTTTCTGGAGCCATGCGCTTACGAGCTAATAAAACTAAAACTCAGACCTCTCACGGGTGGTCGTTTCGTAATATGATCGGCGCCAAATTAATCGCGAGTTCTTAAAAAGTTGGCTCTGCCGTATCCTAAAAGTAGGGCTAGTAGCTCGATGGCACGTTTGAAACCTATATCCTACAGCGACATTGAAATATTGTATAATGAACCTTGACCCCAGCGTCATAGCATGACCATGGTCGTGTTAAGCTTCAAAAGGAGAAAAGCTTAGAATCCAAATGGTTGCATTTGGATTCTAAGGTTCTCTGGTACGCACAAAATGACGTGGCCAAAGTTGCCAGTTGTCGCTCAAGAGCAGTAGTGTAGAGACTGTTGCGCTTTATGACAAAGGAATCGAAGCGCAGGTTCTACCCACTGCTAATCTATCCTAATTCCTCTTGTGGGCTATTAAAAATGCTTTTACTCACTCGCCGCATGACTTGCTTCCTACCAGGTCATGCACATTTTATTCCAGCTGTTTTATTCGTTTCAAATATTCGCGGCCCTTTCAATGCATAACCATTCGAAAGCAAACCTTCTTAAGTCAAAAGATCCTTTTCTCATTTCCTTTCTGTTTCAAACGGGTCTGAGTGTAATGAATGAGATCCGTCAAAAGTGAAATAGCCCTAATCAGAGAAGCATCCCGTGGTGTAGACTAAAATAATTACTTTGATCATTTTGCCATTCGAACTTACTCGACGATTGAGATTAGTCTACTGTGGGAAGAAAATACGCATTCACGCCTATCAAGTGAAACCAGTTCTTGCATAGGGATTTTCTCTTTCTCGTTCCCTTGTAATTAGTTTATTCAAGTCTCAAGATCTATTTGAGCAAACTCAATCGTCCTTTCAAACGTTCGGGAATCTTTGCGTGTATCACAAATACTGCAGAAGCTGTCCATCTCGAGTTTCAGTGACCGAGTAGATTTTGTACGAGAAACGATTCTATTAGTGTGATTATGACAGAGCTCAACAACTCCATTATTCCTTTCACTTTTAAAGTTCGATGGTCTTTTCAGACGAATGGTCTATGTATTAGTGGCAGGAGCGCGTATTACGGTATGTGCTATGCGAGCGAGCACTAGTTATGGCCGGCTTTGAGCAATGGCTGTGGGAGAGGTGGTAGAGTGCTGGGCGGTGCGATACTTTCTCATCGCTATGACTCTTCACTACCAGCAACACGCCACGACCTACCATCATCCCATCAGTCAGCCTCGAGCATTTAAGAGTGGACCCGTTTCAAGTTGATAGGAATGGAGATAGTGGTGACAAAGAGCTGCATTTCTGAGTGCTATGGCCATTTTGGAGCAATTCGAATACTTATTCCCCCCTGACGTAATAGTCACCAGTCAACGAGCGTGACGCGCCTTAATTATCAGTAATTGCACTGAAATGTTATTACTCTTGACCGTATGGTGTTTGCACCGTAGACGGGTTAGGTTTGTCAACTGGAGCTGTGCTGTTGAGACGACGTGGCAGCTTAAAACTTCGTTACCTGACGCTTTGCTTGATGTGATCACTAAGAGTATTGTCCTCTTTTATACTCTCTGATTGTTCGTTATCACGTTGCATTGATCCTGCTTTTCTCTCCACATTGTAGCGGGATAGCCGCTGCGGATACGTCAATGTACGCACAACTCACAATCTTCCCAATTGTTTTTAATAAGTCACCGTGCAACACAACACTCTACTTTTCCGTTTCTGTTTCCCCAGTTATATTAGCTCGATGCAAGTAAATTTGAAGAGCAGTGTATGTGACCTGTTCTGGTTCTCACAAATCCCACAAATTTCTCACAAATCTGGGCTCCCACCAATCACCTACTCGTCATTATTCATCGAAGCTTCAACCAATCTTTCCACAGCAGTACTTAACTTAGAGTCACCTTCCATAGGATCATCCTCCTTTGTCACTTTCAGAACTGACTTTAGCATATCGAATGGTCAACCTGTAAAAATTCTGGCGTCAGCTAGGATTGGACTTCACATGGTTTCCCTTCTGATCCTCAACGGGCTATAGTCAAGATTCTGCAAACTTCATAAAACTGCAGGACATTCTGGAGTTCAGGAGCGACTGCAGTCAATTGTATGAATAGTGTTCGTCTATTCAATGCTTGCTGACGGCCACGGTTACGTACAAATGCTCTCTTTGATATAATGCTCCATGCATGGCTCCAATGGACCCGTCAGCATATGCCATGATCTTATAGAAGGGTAATTGCTTCACTTGAAATCTCTTTTACTGATCATCTATCTTGGAATGCGATCTTCTGATCATAAGAGATCACGGCAGAGATCGTGAATTTATTTGCGTTTTTTAATTGCTCGAATGCTGATAGGCAGCTGATGCGTCACCGTAACCCTTGTTTGCCTTGCAATTTAGGCGTTGATTTTCTCGGATTGCATGATTACCCAAACGCGCCTCTTCTCTCGCCTCTGCCCATTCGGTTGATGGGCCGCTGCTATTAATTAGCGTATCAAAGTTGATCCTTCTTATGGTTGCAATAGTGCGGCGATTCCTCTTGTCACTAAATGTTGCTGAGTCGACAATTTTCCATTTCATTCATTCATCTTCACATTCGAATCTTTCCATTCTTCTCTTCACTCAGAGTATACCTTTATGGCACAGCCCATTTTAGGATGGTACTCCTCGACGGTGAAAAACGACCGTCATCGTTCAGTGTCGAAAGTATCCTCAAACGGAAAGACAAAATCCTGAAGCCACTGGCTATGGCACCAACGTCATCCCTTACTGCGGCTGCAGTCGTCTCTATCACACCGGGTCGTATAAAACTTTCGAATCCGTTTGAGACTGCAATGCTCTTCTTCGGACAGTCTAGGTTTGGAATGATTTCTGTGGCATTTATCCGAAACTTCGTAATCGCGACAAATTTTGAAGGCTACCTCTCCCCCTTCCCGACAGCTCCCCGGAATCTTCGATATCACCCCATCCAGCTCCTACGGTACAACAAATGAATAATTGGAGCGCTCGGACCGACTCGCCTAGTATGCTCTGCCTTTATTCTCTGAACAGAACATGAAATTTCTCTTTAATTTTATTCCAGTGAGCGAAGGTGCCAAAATACAAATGGGTATCAGCAAGTGCATGTTACGAAAGCACAAGAACAATCGCAAACCCCGCACACCGTTCAGTACTCAGCAACTTCTCTCTCTCGAAAGGAAGTTCCAGCAGAAACAGTATCTGAGTATAGCAGAGCGGGCAGAATTCAGCGCCAGTCTACAGCTCACCGAAACTCAAGTAAAAATCTGGTTTCAGGTGCGTGTATGTCTATTTTACATTCTTTTTTTTCCTAGCTGACTTTTAACACTTCTGCAGTGACATACTTTTGAGATAACTATCTCGATCATTATTGATACGCTTGCTTATAATTGCATGGCGCGTTGACTTACGCCATTGGTCTTGATGTGATAGATTGTACTGCTGTGACGTGACTGTGACCATCTCAGAAAGATCAATATAGAAATACGATATCACTCCTGATGTCTAGTACCTTAGTACTGGCACAAACTACGCCATTAAAATCCTCGAATTCCTGCTGCCTTTGAAAATGCGCCACATGGTTACCGTATACCTATCTCGGCCAGCGGGTCATCGCGTACATAGCTCTCATTCCTCAGTGGCCTCGAGAGAGGTTGCTCATTTGATGATATGAGGTGTTTGATCGAATGTTTATATGCGTGTAGAATATGAAAAAGATGATAGAAACCGCTTGTGCTTGTTCAAATACGACAGGGAAGTAGTTTCAATAGTTCTTGAAGAAATAGAGCGTTACTAGAAAAACGACACTCGTTTAAGGTGAATTTTTTGTTCTTTCTAGGGAAGTATAGGAGTTAGCTAGCCAGCGATAATACAAAAGTGGATGTTTTCCAGCCGTCTTTCATCCTGAACAAACCTTTGATTAGCCTGTCTATAATTTTGAGCAATCTCGTTCCTGTGCTCTTCCCATTCACCACGTTCGTCATCAAAAGTTTCAGCCCCACCCATTACTTGATTTGAAACGAAGACATTTTGATCATGAACAAGTCAAGACAGAGATACAGGAGTGGTTCCAACGTTTAAAGTTTCTTCCAGACGTTCTCTGACGGGTTTCCACTATCCATTCAGAATTGAATCTATATAGGCTAACATATTGCTCTTAGCCAGTGAGGTTGGTCATGTTGAGATCATACAGTACTCGCCTCATATACAAATAAAAAATGCCGCTATTTTTAGTTTGGCTTTTTTTCTGCCCTGGGGCAATGGCTCTCTTTCTGTTACCTTTTTCTTTAGATTCAATTTCTTAAATGTGTGTCAACAAATGAAAGAGAATAGAGAATTTTAGGCGGAATCAGCTCATCAGGCTGCATCTCGCATAACCTTCAACTTTGAGAAAACCTCCTGATTCTAGCAACGAATGTGCTTCTTCTGTCGTGTTGTACGCCAAGTGTTTCATCATAAATGGAGGGCGGCTTCGCGTGGAAACCTACATCTTGTTGAAAAACTCGTCGACATCCAAAGTGTTCTTTCAGCTACTGAAAAGACCGCAAGATCTTCTAAATAGAAGGTACTATCAAACGTATTGCGACCAAGACTGATATCCACTAACGGCCGGGCCATAAAATCGCGCGTGAAGTAGTCGAATATGTTAACCAAAGCAAAAAAACTGAACAGGAAAGCGGATCTTCGGTTTGGATTGCTTGGTATGAGTAAATGAAGACAACGGATCTCCGCGATGACCTTCGAAAAATCGGAAAAATGCTTGAGAAAGGCCTGTGTAGTTCACAAGGGAACAGCCATGTACATCTTTGGGAGAAAACTGTCAGGGAAAGCACAAGGCCGCGAGATTGCCCGCTATCCTTCTTTCCCAAAATGATCCGCCCAAGAGTCCTGCTCCAAGCTCCATCTTCCACTGCAAAAAAAAGCGATCCATCGACAGGCCAATAAAGGGAAACTCTATTGTCTTTAGTAGGGTCTAATGTAAGGGATCATTTGCACTCAAACAATCGCTTAAGGCTAGAGCGTTCCTATAATGGGCATTTCCGACGTTTCCCTTCCGCATCTTCTCTTCACTGACAGTCCCTTGGTGACTTATCTTCCACGTTTTAACAGCATTGTCGACACTTCTTATTGGAAACCGTGCTTTTAAGGCCAGAACTGCAGTTTGTTTCAAGTTTGTACTAAGGCAGTTATGATCGCTTCTGCTTATGGCCTTGCGGCACGCATTCTACACTCCCTTATCCCTAAGCCAGAGTAGGCGTGGCATTTGAACATGGCACGGAACTGGTTACTCGTGGAATATTCCAATCTGGGACAACTGTCATCTTGTTCTGTGTTGGACAGAGACACGACAACAGTTGTGTCAAGATGGAAATATTCCACCAGAAGCATAGACACCTTCAGGTTAAGTTGAAGCATGCAGCCACGCCTACCCGATCTCAGCGGATTTCGAGTATATTATACTTCCATTCAGAATCGTAGTGGCTTATTGAATGCGATGTGGCCTATACAATGACCAGCCGATGTACAAGTCAGTGTTTTATCCTCCCAGACGAATCTGGTACCAATTTACCGTCCCCGGAGGGTAGAAGGCTTGGTTGGCCTGGGCGGGAGTCGACCTGGGATTTGAACCCAGGACCGCGCGAGTGGTAAGAGTGCCAACGGCCCGGCTTCGCCGCGTTTACCTTTTTCCACATGTTTATATGCCCAACTGATGTGCGGCTTTTCCTTTATCAATAGATAACCAACGCTCCTTGACCATTAACATCATACCTATTACGGTGCATGACATTATGGTAAGGAGCATTGATGAAGTGCAGAGCTGACAGAAAGTTGAGCATCAGTCGTGCATAAACTACGAAAGCATGTGGGGTAGACGAAGCACGCCCGCCCGGCAAGACTGGGCCTTATCACAGAGGAGGCGCGCCGGCGTCAGCCGGCGAGTCGACTGGTATCTAATGCATTTACGACGACCGGTGGTTAAGTGCATGGCTGCCGATGCACTGAAGCTCAGTAAAAGTAGGCAGCTCTGCTTGAAGGCACGCACAGCCCACTGTGGACGGGTCTCTATACACCACAGACACACTCAACCTTCGCTGTATGTTTCTTTTCTCCAACGACTTTTTGCAATCCCTAAAGTCACTCAGGTCCGAAATATAAAATCTCGTAGCAAGCACGCCCCGCCAGTACGTCCCGCCCATTTTGAGGATGTCTGCCCCATTTCAGCTAGTGACCCCTTA